AAATCGCGCCCCTTGCTTGCTTGAGAAATGCAAATAAATAACGATTGATTCATTGCGATTTCAAGCCATAAACTGAACAAAACTGAAATTTTTTTGTTTCCTCTCCTAAAGCTCGAATGTAAGCATAAAGTATTGACTTTTGTCTGCAAGATTGGAAAAGACACCTTACTGAGGCAGACTGGAATCAGTCAATGCCTAAGGCATGCGTAGAAGTTTAGTTAACGACGGTGGCATTAAATCATTATGTTTGAAGACAAAATCTCAGTTGAATGACTTCTATTTGTATTACATTAAAACTTACCCTCAGCATGATTATCAACTAGGTTGTTCCATTAGCTTCAAAAGCCTAATTTGTCATGGACGAGAAGGAATTTTTAGGCAGAAAGAGTCGTGGCGTCTCTTTACCCCCCAGGGACTGTTTGAACTGAATGTTCACAAGTTGCCTGAACGTGCATTAGCTTTTAGTAAATGAAGCAAATCAACCCAAATTTATTCAATTGTTTGGTCACATTCCCAAACATGCTTTGGAAAGGATCATTTTTAAAGAGAGCTGAGCATCTATCAAAAACAATACTCAAATCTCTTTGATATTGATGCTGGCCGTATTAGTGATTAAGTTGCGATGGTACGCGGAAGTCTTAAGCTTCAACTGTCAAAACTAAAAATTCAAATGAAAATAAACCATTTGAGTAGATTTGATATGATATGGTGCTCACCTGAAGCAAGAGGAAGAAATACAACGAGAACAGCTACAAGGAAACAAAGCTCGAGATTAAACTGCGCCATGTTTCGATTAAGTGTGTCACAGTATGTGGTCACGCAAGATGTCTTTGTTTTCTCACTATTCAAGTGAAGGGGCAAGGATTCATTTGAATAACACACATTCACTCTGTGTTCAATTTAACTACTCTTTAATAAGAATGTGAAGAAGAAGTAAATTCCTAAGGAACAGAAAAGTGACTTTTACAAAAAAGTACTAACATATAAGACGGGAAGGATAAATGCAAAGATTCCACTAGACCAAAACATGAAATGCTGAAGGAATACGCAAGACACAAAACACTTGTAGGAAAAGGGTTTATATCGACGCAAAATAAGCGTGAAAAATGATATACAAAGGGTGGCGTAATTTACATAAAGTGTGAAAATAATAGTGTTGAGATGATACCTGGAAAAACGAAAAGAATACATGTAAATTAATGGTGCGGAAATATGACCCATTACTGAGAAATAGAAATCAAAGTGCTCTGTGAGCAAACTCGTGAATTGACAGATGACTTACATGATTTTTGGATTATATTTAATGTTATCTGGTTTAGGGAATTTTGTGGTTGATTGTCATATTTAGAATACGAGCAGTAGTTCAGTGTTTGCTAATGTAGCAAAGGAACAAAGTAACATTGGGATGAGAAGGCATTACAATTGAAATGATCATGCTATTACATTTGACAAGGGTGGATGATGTCATATGTTTTAAACGATATCATTTTTAATTCTGGTTCAAAAGAAAAGGTAGGAAGTAAATGTGGGTGGAAAGCGAAATTTACTGTCTATCATTGAAAATAATGGAAAATCAAGGAGATACTGTCTTAATGAAAACATTAATGTTTCCCTCTTTATCAAATTAGACAAACGGGAACGACTTTTGAGTGATAAAACTAAGCCCAGACTACCACCGTCATTTTGGACTTCCGCCTGGGTAGACTTTTGTCACGTGCTAGGCAACGTATGATCAAGAACAAGATAGAATTTCATTTTAGGCCTATTCATCAATTTTGTGGTGTATAACTTTCGCATTTTAGTACGTAATATTTATTTTGAATCTTCAAATTGCCTTGAAACTTAAAATAAAATTGTACTTTAAAAATTCACTGAAAATCGGTAGCCAAAATTATTTGTTTAGATGTTATTTTATTTTCGTGTTAACCTGCAATTTCGTCAGTCCCCAGCACCTTTCGTTGCTTCACACAGGAAAAAACACGATACGAAATGTAATGAACGATTTTGTCCCCAATCTCACGCCATAACAGAAAACGCTTTTGAACACCTGTAAACTCCGAGCGCTTCGGAGTAAGTGATATTTTTAATGAATCTTCGGATTGTTTTCAAGTTCAAGGATTGTAAATTACAATTTTATGGAAAAAAGGAAGGTTGGTCTCTTATTTCAGTGTGAATCCTTGCACGCCTGCCAGTCGCTGGCGCCGCTTGTTAAAACGAAAACGAGATTAAATTGATACATTATGAAGACTTACCTGTTATGTTCTGTAGGTTACGAAGAACGAACCATGAAAGACTCTTACTTCAAAACAAACGACGCCAGTATATTCGCCAGGCTACATTCTGAACCACTTACGCCGAAGATCTTAGATGTGGATCTTTGCCTTTTTCCATATAATCCTTAAAAAATCTTGGCGTACATTTAGCAAACCTTCGCCGTGACCTTTGAGTGGATGCACCTTGCTATATTCGGCGGGCCGGGTGGTTCATTTACGCCAACAGAATACATTATGAATACAAAACTGTCGAACGTCGATACATCCAAGAAGAACCAAGAATAAAAGCTGCGGCCAAAGAAAAAAGCCATTTCTCAAGGAAGTCCACTCACTTCCAGTTCAAACACGACTTAGGCACGACTTTGGCACTCGCACGATTTGAGCCCGCGATAGTCGGTTTTCCTTTTTTTTTTCCCACTGGTCAGCGACTTAACAAAGAAAAACGTTCACAGGAATCGACTAAGCGCTTTTTTCCCCCACACACCTCCTATACTCATAAATGCTACGCATTCACTCGTAAAAATGAACATGGACTAGAGATTTATGTGTACGGACGAAATTGCTACAAATTCTACAAAGACGAGCTTGGTCTTGTGGCGAATGTGTATGTGATACATTTAGTTCCTTACAGTATTTATAGTTATTACAGAACTTGCGTGTTCGTTTGTTCGGGAGTTTGAATTTCACCCTTTGATGCTACAGGTGTGGCAGTAATAGTTAAATCGTGGTTTTTTTTTTTCGAATTTCCGACGTCAAGCGCGCGCTCTGATTGTTCAGTTCAATGTCTGCTAGTCGCCCATGGGAGTTTGCTGTGACGTGATAATGTAAGGACAAGTTTTCGCGCACTTGTTTTGACTACACGAACATTTTAAGTTCATTAAAAGCGAACGCTTTTGCTACAATGCATCGATATGTGCGTTATTGCTAGCTGGATATTGGAAATTGGTCGAGAACTTTTTTTTTTTTTTTTTTTGGGGGGGGGGCATTTTTATGGACCGAGACGAAGTCGAAGTCCATAAAAACGGTAAAAAAGAACGGGGCTAGTATCCAACCACCATGACTGAACAAGCTTCGTCAATAACGGTTTTACTACAAAGCAAAGAGATTTCGCTTTATCGAGAATAGAGTATGATTGTTTCATTTCAAGAGCCGGGAAAGAAAGCAACTAGGTTTGTAGCACAGCAAAACCTCGAGAGTCTTTCGTGTTTTGTTTTTTTTTTTTGTTTTGACTTCTTTCTGCCAATTTTTTCGAGTTCATCACTGACATTGCCCAAGAATTACGAGCTTTGTAAGTTTGCGCGGGATCAAAGCGGGCAATCCCGTGCGGGAAAGAGGGACCCATCTTTCCAGCTTGGGTAACCAATCAGAACACTTCGCTAAAAAAAATATCGTTTCCTTTTCTCAAAGTCGTTTTACGAAAAAAACTCATCTCTAAGCTGTTCATTCCATTCACCCAGAATATCACATCTACCAGGAATTTCCTATGCGGACGTATCAGAAAACTGACTTCTGTTCGAAAGACTATCTATCAATAACTATGGGGGAACTGACAGCTAAGACTCGGGGCCCCTTCTCTGCCACATTATTTCCTTTTCATTTAACGTCAGATAGTTTCAGTAATGAAGGTTTTCTTTCACGAAATTTTCAAGAACTAACAGTCGGACGCAGTTAAAGTGAAAAAGATCCTCTTAAACTTTTTAGAAGAATATTTAATAAGAACCTGCAAGCCGATCACTCAGAAATTCATAAAACATACATAGAAAATGTTAATAATGAAATGGGGAACCATATTAAGATATGACCATGTTTTTCAACAAATACCAATTTCAGCCAATTAATCAATCAAACATTTATTATATGAATATAAATCTATAACTAATGTACTAAATATATACGTGAACTCTATCTTTTACTTTAGTAAAAATATATTTCAATGTGCTTTGCACGTTTGAATTCCAAATTAATCGTTCAAAAAATAAATCAGTTAATCGTTTAATTATCAAAAATCTAACTCTACACAATTCTATCTTATTTCTGAGAAAAAAATACTGTTAAAGAAATTATGTTCTAATTGAAAACAATGTGAATTAAATTCAGATGAAAAGAGAAAAGGCAAAAAAAGGCACCATAACCCTCCAAAACAAACTATAGAACTACAAACCACTTTTAAACCAACACTGTTAATAGAAAACGATAACTGTGAAACTTCATATAGACTTTTAAGAAAAAAGACATCATGAAATATGTAGGTTATCAGAAACTTTCCTTTACAATTAACTTTAAAAATAACACAAACCTCTACAAATGTAATAACTTCTTTGTACATACACCCAGTATCTCTTTCTTTTAATTGCATAATTTGAAAAGTAGGATAACAGAATTCCTGATATTGCCATAGTCCTAAGCCTTACAGG